CTTTAAATATAATTGAAGTTTTATATTATCAGAATAAGATATATACTACTAGAAAAATGTTATTTTTTTTGCAAATTTTCTGAAAAGAAAAATATTTGTAAAATTTTTTTGCAAATTTTCTTGCAATATTAATTTCACAAAATTTTTTTATGAATTTATTTGCAAAAAATAATTTATAGATATTTCTTACAAAAATTTTTATGAAAAATAATCTACAAGAAATTTTGCAAATTTTGCTACAATTTTAATGATCATAGAAATTTTTTTCCATGGTAAAAATTTTTAAAAAATATTGTAAGAATTTTATTTTGTTTCTTGCAGATTTTCTTGCAAAAATAAATTCACAAGTAATGTTTACTAAATGGTAGAAAAATTTCGCAGGTAACTTTTCTTACGGATTTTCCTGCCAATTTCAATTCGCAGGAAAAATATATATTTTTTAATTTATAAGTTTAATATTTAAAAAAAACTTCAAGTCCCACATTGATTGAAAATAAAGCAATTAAAGAGTATATAAGTTGGGACAACACTTACCTTACAAGTTAATTTGTATGGTTGAGTGTTAGGTTTATAATCTACAATCTTAGAGTTTAAAAGATTATGGATCACATGTTGTAGGCGTGGAACAAATACTTCGGATGAATTCATTGTGAGCATTTAAAAGTTGAAGAATTATTGATAGAATTTGCAGTAATTTCTTTGATTTTTTTCGTAAAAAATATTCTTGCAAAATTTCTTGTGAAAAAATTCTCAGGAAACTTTCTTGCGAATTTTTTTCGCAGGAACATTTCTTGCGAATTTTTTTCGCAGGAACATTTCTTGCGAATTTTAAAATTTGCAAAAACATATTATTCACGAAGGTATTACTTGCAGATAAAATTTCGCAGAAAAATTCGTAGGAATAATGTTTGTTGCGGATTTTAATACAAAATTCGCAAGAAAAGTCGCATGTAATAAGAGAAATTCTAGTAGTGATAATGAACATGAGATTATAAACGTACACATAATCTTCTTTAGTAAGAAGTTTCTTCTTTTATGATTATCAAAAGTAAAATCATGAGAGCTTAGACTCAAAATGAGCAATATATTATTAATGTAGACAGAGTATGTTATAACCCTCAATGCACAACAAATAGTATTAGAGCTGATGATTTTGATTAGATAATGTTCCGATATCATGAGTTAATTATGGAGCGGTGATAAGAGGACCTAGAGCATGACTAAGCTCTATAGATCACCATTGGACATATTCGTGGGCTAACTTTCATTATAAAAAGGGGTTAAATGATTGTCTTTTATTTGAGAGAAGAATTGTTATTAAGATACAATCAAAGTCTTATATTATTAGAACAAATAAATGAGTTTATAGACATGGTCTCCAAGAGGTGAGAATTTAGATTTAAAATAGACAATATTTTATTAATATAGAGATAAGTATATATAAAAACTTCTACTGTACAATAATATTTTTAAAATACTAATCTATCTCTCTTTTTATTTGAAAATAATTAAGAGTTTAATTAAATATACATTTAAAAGTATTTTTGAGAATTTCTTTACTTAAATTTTTTTTAAATTTTCAGTAAAAAAATACTTTTATTTTATATCTAAACAAACAAAGTTCACGGCCTTGAGAGCTCAGATTTTAGGATCGTTACATTATTGTTTTCTAAAGGCTTGTATCCCTTTGGTTTTCATCATGAATGAATACATGGGGGTAGAATATGGCCAGTTTTAATATAGAAAAGTGAAGTTTTGGTACACAAATAAATGAACTAAAGAAATAATAATTATAAGAAAACCACTAAACACGCACACAACAAAATAAATTTTTAGTAATATTTAATATGATTTTTAGTAGTAATAAAAATTGCTATAAAAGTTTTTAGTGACATTTCTACAATAGCCATTGTATGCAATGTCGCTAAATCAATTTAGCGACAATTATTCTGAATGCAAGTAAAAATCTTTATAATGGTCAAAAAAAGTATATAATTTTTTGTGACATTTTTTACTTTCTACTCGATGTGGGACTTGTAAGATGAGGATTGTCTTTTATTTATAAATTTTTTAATTGTCTTATCTCATAATTAATTATTTTATCAACTTAAAATAGTAAGTTATAGGTCTAATTAAACCCTACAAAATAAACTTGTAAGATGAGAGTTATCATCCATTTATATATTCTTTAATTATCTTATTTCTAGTTGACGTGGGACTTAAATTTTTATAAATAAATAATTGTCGCTAACAGTAAATTTTAGTATGATATAAATATATTTTTAGTGGCTATTATATATTAATCATTAATATTTTTATTAAATAATAAAATAAAAATAATTAATTTATTACTACTAAATAATTGTGAATAATAATCAATTTTATTGTAGTAACGAATAAAATGTCACTTTTGATTATGAAACATATGCAACAATCAAGTTAATCCCCGAAGATATAGAATGTTATTTTACGCCATAAATTATAGACAATGAAATTTTAATAGTAAATGACGTTCAATTAATTAGTTCATGAAGTTATGTATACTATTATATTGTTAATAAAAGCTATACCCCCTTTTATAACAGTCTTCATGTCTAATTTTTATATGAATATGTATATTTTGTAACTTTCTATTTAATTTATTATTTTATTTATATAACTATCGCTTAAACTTTCTAATCGTTGATCGATCGTTTGCTTATATTTAACTTCAGTTATTTTTATCTATTATTTTTTAATTTTTAAATAAAATACATGATAACAAGAAGTGTTTATTTTATATGCTGGAAGAAATAAAGACCATATATGACTATGTTTTTCTCAAAAAAAAATTTCTTAAAAGTTGCTTTAAATTAAAGTTTAAAAATAAAATTTTTTCGACTCAAATAGAATCATTCCGGTACAAAATGCACTTATTTAAACAAAAAAAAACTTTGAAAATAAAATAGATAATAATTCTTCAACATTTAAAAGTATTAAATAATGGTTTTTTAAAATTTTTGATATCAACAGATAACAACTAATATTATTGGAGAGAGTATCAATGGCATATTAGGACAAAAACTTATTTAAAAGATTACTGCAGTTTTAATTATTAATAATTTAACTTAGTTATAAATACTCAACTAGTCTCTAAGTGTCAAAAGATCTTCGTGAAGAAGATTGTTCACCAAATAGAAAAAGTGACATCAAGGGATAATAACATCAACAAAATAAATTAATCAAAGTTAAAATTTATTTTATAGCTAAAATATGCCAATTTCGGTTGGTCTCCTTTTCACCCTCTCATCCCCTAGTCGTATGTATCAATGTATGAAACAATAGAATTTAGAAAACAAAAACTTCAGATAAATTTATAAAACCTGGCTTACCTTAATTTGTTTTTGGTCTAATAACTTTTTTGTCTTATTTGTTTTTTACATAAAGAAAATCTAGCAGAAAGGAATGAAACCCAAGATTAAATGCTTAATAACTTCAGATTAAATGCTTATTTCTATACTCATTAACACTTTCCTTTCTAATCTTGAGTGAATTTTAAGGTGAGAGGGGAAAAAATTCCCTCATTTTTATAGTTAGATATATTATTAAAATAACTGAACAATTATGACAAACGGAATAATATTTGAATTCAACCATTTATTTATTTTAAAAAAATTATTTAATGGTTAAAAATAATCTCATCTAGGTGAAAGACTTTTTTGACTCCTCACTTTTATTCTTATCTCTTCTCTTCTCATGTCCAAATAAAATATAAAATTTTATGTACAAATAGAGGATCCGAGGCAGAAAGTGAAACCCCTTGAATTAAAAATGGTGTCCAAGGTGAAAACTTGCATTAATTTTATTCTCTGGTCCCAGGATCAGTTCAGTTAAATTTATTTTGTTCTTTTATATTATGGTAATAATTCAAGCTTCTGGTTTTTCGTTTTGTCATCTTTCAATGCCCCACCCTTTGAATCAAATGGTCCAACTGTTTAAACTTAAAGGCATTTCTCCTTTGGAATCAAATGGTCCATGTGTTTTCTTTTTACCTTTCGGAACGTGGAAAAACAAAAATCTTACATAGTATTTAGAGCGGGAAAAAAACATGAGAGATGTATATATATATTTGTACCACTTTTTATTTAATTACTTTCAAGAGCATCTGCAGTATATTATACTATCTCACATCAACTTTTTTCTTTTTTTTTTCTTAAACGACAAAATTTTTGTAAGAAATTTTGTTAAAATTTAAACAATCTATTTTGTCACTTAAATGATGAGCTGTCATTAAAAAATTGTTAAAAACATCTACAATGAGATTGTGTATAAGTAATTCTTGTGTCACATCACTACCAAATCAGCTTTGACTCACTTTATGTATTGCTTAAATTTTAGTAGAGTTACTTTTACAAACAATTCTACTAAAGTTTAAACAAGTCATAAAATGGGTCAGAGCTGATTTGACAATGATGTAACATAGGATTTCTTATAAGCAACTTCCATCAAAAAAAATATTCTAAGCAACGCACGTCGCATATGTTCTAAAGTTAAAGGGTGGATTAAAAAAAAAAGATTATAATTGCATTTACTTTAATTAAATTGGAGTGAAAGCGATCTAATAGAAGTACGAACTTTGAGGTAACTAAAAAGCTAACAAAGTCATTCTTTCTTTATTCTTTCTTCTTCTCCGTCCCAAAAGCTTTTACTGAGAGCGAAGACTTTTCATGTTTTGTTACTTTTTTCTTTCCCCAAAGAAAACGGGGCCCACAGAGAATTTCCAAATCCAAACGAAACGACGTCGTGCGAGGGAGCGGGAGAGGCCAACACATGTTTTGTCCGTTGCACGTTTTGAATTTCAAATCTCACACGACACAACAACATTACAACACTAACCCACGACACGAACCCAACTCATTCATTAAACTGAAATTTTCCTCTCTCCAACACAATCCAACATCACATTCGCTTCAACTCAGAAAACCCAACTTCAAGTTCGCCTCTTTGTCAGCACAAGCTAAATGGGTGCGTCTGGAAAATGGGTGAAAGCGCTAATCGGTCTTAAGAAGCCCGACAACATAAATGAACACGTAAGTGAACTACTTCTTAGGTTGTTTTGTTTTTGTTTGCATAAATGAACACTGTGTGTGCTAATAAACTAGTGTTCATCTTCTTATTCTAACAATGTGGGACTATACTGTTATTATTTGTGTTTTTATGGCAATTAAGTGGGTGGTGTTTGATGATCCGTGTAGGGTGCGAAGAAGAAGAAGTGGAGGCTATGGAAGAGTTCCTCCGCCGGGGAAAACAGATCTCAAGACGGGTTTCTTAACGCGCCTTCCGATTCCGATTCATTCACCGCCGCAGTGGCCACCGTGGTCAGAGCTCCACCTAAGGATTTCAGACTCCTCAAGCAAGAATGGGCCGCTACAAGAATCCAAACAGCCTTCCGGGCATTCTTGGTAAGAGACCCACATCGATTAAAGATGTAACTAAATTAGTGTATATAAGTGGAAACAAGTTTAGACTATGAATTTGCAGGCGAGAAGGGCATTGAGGGCGTTGAAGGGAGTGGTGAGGCTTCAAGCTCTTGTAAGGGGTAGGTTGGTGAGGAAGCAGGCTGCGGTGACATTGAGGTGCATGCAGGCCTTGGTGCGTGTGCAAGCGCGTGTAAGGGCGCGCCGCGTTAGAATGTCCATTGAGGGGCAAGCTGTGCAGAACATGCTCAATGAGCGCCGCACCAAAGCTGAACTCATCAAACAAGCTGAGGTATTTCAATGATGTTTGCATTTCAAAAAAACATTTAAAGAATTCAAGTTTTACTTTATTAGATTAAGTTTGTAGATTTTAATATAAACATGAACTTAAGAAACTCCCTCTGTTTTTTTTCTTCTAATTCTTAAGATCATCAACCATAGCATACAAAATTGTTTTGCATGATGTTTTGTGAGGAACATGTTTTGGGAACATACGTGCAGGAAGGGTGGTGCGATAGCAAAGGATCGTTGGATGATGTCAAGACGAAATTGCAGATGAGGCAAGAAGGAGCTTTCAAGAGGGAGAGAGCAATTGCCTACTCTCTTGCCCACAAGGTAACAATAGAATATCAAGAAAATGTGCTCTACCTTTTTGTTCCTCCTTATTGAGAGACATATCTAATTTAATTCATGGATTTTGCAGCAGTGGAGATCAACCCCCATCTCTAGTTCAAGACCAAATGCTTCTCTCAACAATCAAGAGATGGACAAGGCTAACTGGGGATGGAGTTGGTTGGAACGTTGGATGGCTGCTAAGCCATGGGAGAGTAGATTAATGGAGCAAACCCATCATGCTGATTCCACAGATAAGACCCCTCCTCCACCAAAGAAATGTGTGGACTCTTCAAACTCAAAAACATCAGAACCATGCAATGTTAGAGTCAGAAAGAACAATGTCACCACAAGGATTTCTGCTAGACCTCCCCATCTTGGACAAGCCACTCGTTCAACCTCAAGTCCAAGTTCTGAATTTCACTATGATGAGTGCTCAGCTTCATCTTCATTATGCACTTCTACAACACCAGTATCTGGGAGTACTGCATTGCCTTGTGACAGGACAGAGGATAGTAACAATAATAACACTAGCATTAGGCCTAGTTACATGAACCTGACCGAGTCAACCAAGGCAAAGCAGAAAACCAGCAATCATCATCAATACAATAGAGCTCAGAGGCAGCAATCCATGGATGAGTTCCAGTTTTTCAAAAAGACAGCGGTTTTCTCTAATGGGGATTCCAAAAGCACCGGTGCTTCTGACCCTTCGGTCAACTTTGCTAGGCCACTTTATCTACCAACCTACTTGGATAAGAGGCCACGGTGAAAGGGATTGGATTTAGAGTATGTCTTGATTCACATCAATTTTGGTTGAATGCGAATTAGTGGAAGTAACAATTAGTTGCCTTTTTTTTTTTTTTAATATCAATTTTGATGTGATTCTTGTCTAAACGTGGATTATGGATGACGAATCAAACATGCACTCAATTAGTTGATCCACTCTGTATTTATTTCCAAGAAGTTCAACACTTCAACATCTTGTTGTTCCCTAGATTGTTAATTGTGCTTTCTCCCAAGAAATACTACTTTAGGGGTCTCCATTTGTATAATTATTTGTTAATTGTTAATTTTTTTGGTTATCATGATATATTTAGAGACGGCAAGGCCTAAACAAAATTCAAAATTGAAGAGAGACCCAACAGTTAGTGGGGAAATCCGCTTGTGTAATCACATTCAAAGTTTAGATACTTTTTTAATTTCATTAAAGTTTAGTGAACTCTAAGATTGTTTACTTAGATCTCAGCACATTACATTTGTTTGGATTAGCATGTTTTGCCTTGCTTACAATCAAAATGGTCGAGATTTTATTTCATCCATTGCGTCACAGGTACAGTGTAGTTGTTATGCATAATCACTCTATTTTGTTCTTCTTATGATTCTGAGTTTGACACCATGCTTGAAGTTGAGAACCATACCATATTCCATTTCTACAGGTTTTTCCATGTCAAGTGAATGACGAAACACATATTTCCTGTATAAATGAATCAGAGTAAGCTTGATCTCTTGTAGGAAAATTTCTGACCAATACATGCCCGGGGACCAATTCCAAATGGTATGAACGCATAAGGATGCCTTCGTTTCATTTCTTCACATTTGGGGTCAAATCTCTCTGGTTTGAACTTTTCCGGCTCTGGAAAGTTTCTTGGGTCTTTTGCCAGAACTCCAAGAGCTAACCAAACCCACGTACCCTGCACTTATACAAAACTACATCAGTGATGGCATAGCTAAAAATTTATCATTCATGAATATTATATTGAGCGTGTAAATGATTTTTATACAATTATCCAATCATAAATTATTATATATGGTGTGTTAATTTTTATAATAATTATCTTAAAATATATAGGTTTACTTTTGTCACTCATCTTTTATATTGTTTTTTTTTTTAATTTTGCTATTTAATTTTTAAAATTGCATATTTTTCCACTTAACTTAAAAAATTTGCACATTTTGCCTCTTGTCAATTAATTGATTATGTGAAATTATTAATTGATCCATGTTGTACATTGATTGTTAATGTGACATGTTGACTACCAACATAAATGATTATATGACATATATAAGATGATGTGAAATAATATGATATATCAGTAGTTAATATGTCATGTCATTAATTGATATTATATCAATGGTTAACTAATGACATTAGATAATAAATTAATAAATAATTAAATAGAAATTTTTGAAAAAAATTAGATAATAAAATGTACAATTTAGAAAGTTGAATGAGAAAATTTGCAAAAATATAAAAAGAGAATGATAAAAAGTGCAATTAAGTGAAAAAAATACATGCATAGAAATTATACTCAATATTGTATTTACCTTTGGAAGAAGGTAACCTCCTATCTCTACCTCATTTGATGTTTCTCTTGCAACCAATGGGGAGACAGTGTAAAACCTCATGGCTTCTTTAATCACCTGCATTAATTAAATAGAGAATTTTACACCATGATTGATGGGTCCTTGGAACTTCGAAAAAGTACGAATGTTGAATTTCATCCAAGTATCAATATCACATGACCTGGTCAAGATAAGGAAAGCTGTCATGAAGATCATGGGCGGTGAGTGTCCTATCAGCTGGACCAAATCCATCAATCTCTTGAAGCAACTTTTTCTCAACTTCTGGATGTCCAGCAACCAAATAGACAATGGATGACATGGTAAAGGCTGTGGTGGCTGAGCCAGCAAGTAAGTGCTCATAAGTAACAGCACTAATGTAGTCAGGTGAAAAGACATTTTCTGATACAGTCTTTGATTCTCTTGCATTCAGAATGAGTGACAAGAAATTCTTTGAAGTTCTGTTCTTGTCTTCCATTCTCCTCTTGACAATCTCATCAAGACGACCACTCAGTTTATCATTAGTACGCTCTATTTTCCAGTCCATTGTGCCAGGTATTCTCTTCAGAACCTGCCTAAATGGCTCCTGAAGTATTGGGGCAAGTAGACCAAGTATGATGGAAAAAGAACCAGACAAGTCCATCTTAAGCTGTGTTGTGGAGTAAATGTGTTGATTGATGAAATCTGATACTTCAGCATTATCTTCATCTCTCACATTGTTAACACTCTTGATTGATTCACAAACTGAATGGGGGTTAGAGAGGCCAAAGTTGACACCAAATGCTGCCTCTCCAATCACATCTGTTGCTAGCCTTAGGGAAAG